AGAAATGGGTAGGTAGGTATGTCGGAAAAACAGGGTGGGAGGGGGGAAGAACGCCCGAGGGGGAGCTGCTTGGGAAGGGCTCTCCTCTCGGTGAATGCTGAATAGAGGCCCTTCTTTTCCAGGCAGGTGACTGTGACCGTATGTGTCATCTCCTTTCTTTCTGTTGATCCTAGTGGCTTCTCTTACCCAGTATGAGAACTCCCCCGAGATTTTCACATCCTGAATGCTTCTCACCAAAGTAGCTAGTGTTCTAGGATAATGTGTTTTTTGTTACCACTGCTGTTCCTGGTTTCTGCTCACTCAAACCCTTTTAAGCCATATTTTCCATGATTCTTCAGTGCTGGCTTTGGTATTTAAGTAAGCCTTTCAATGGGTCATTAGCTCTGTAATTAATTCCAGCTATTTCTGAATGGTGCCTTGGTTATTAAAGAGCTGCCATATTCTCAACAGCCCTGTCTTTCTTGGAGCATCCCTAAGCATTAGCCCATTTTTTATTTTTATTTTTTAGTGCCAAAAATATTGTAATCTTTTTTCTCCTTTCAAAAACATTTCTCATCGGTAGGAAGAGTCAAGCTTTTGAATGAGGACAGGAAATATTTAACTATTACACTTCTGTATGATAGTCTCCGGCTTTTATTTTTTCTTTCAAAGATCTCAACAAATAACCATCAAGGACTTCCTGTAGACCAGGCCCTGCCCTATTTACATTTACTTACATTTTCAAAATCAGTATTGGCAAAGTGAGGGTTTGAACAGGAAGTGACTTTATGGATTGAATCACTTAGCCAGGTAGCTCCAGAGCTGGAATTAGAGCCCAGACCACTTGACTCTTAGCTATTCTTTCCCTTTCTTTATGCTGTGTTATATAATATTAACATAGCTGTCGGTCTCGGTGCCACCAGAAGAGGCTTACCAATTCTAATATTAGAACCAGTGAGCCTGGCCCCACACCCCTGGCAGATGTCACAGTCAGTTGCAGCACAGAGCATCTCAACCAGCGTCCCAAGCATCCAACCCATCTGACTTGGAAAATGAGCTGAAACCCACTTGCTACCTTGACCTTATAATCATCCCAGGATAAAGCAGTAATTTCTGGTTCAGAAAAGCAGATGGAGATTAACTTTGATTATTGAGTATTATCTGAGATCAAATAAAAATACCAATAGCTCATATAATAATAGTAACCGTGGCTACCATTGTGTGCCAGGCACTGAGCTAGTTGCTTAGGTGTATTCTTGCATTTGAGCCTCATAACACCCCATAAAATAGTTACTCTTATCTCCATGATACAGATTAGAAAATTGCAGACTGGAGAAGTTAAATAACTTGCCCCTGATCACTGAGCTAATAAGTGGCCGACTTGGCATTTAGGCTGCCATCTGTCTATCTCTGAAGCTACTCCTTGACATTTAACAGCACACACAGGGCGTCCATGTACTGATGTTAGAAGAGTAGTTACTACCTTTCTCTCTATGACAGTCCCCTTCCCCCTCTCCTAGCTCCCATGGCCTTTTTTCCCACCAATCCTGTGAACTCCTTTGGTACCTTTGGGTTGCAGGTTCTAATAAATGTAGCTCAGTGCTTACCTCCACGGATTTTATTGTTTGTTTGTTTAATTTTATGATAAATTAGGAATCCTTTAAATTATTTTGGTTCTTGCCATAGAGTTTCCATGCTAGAAAAAATGCTTAGGGCTATCTAGGATTGCTTTACCAACCCTTTCATTCCCTCTAGGGTAATAGGGATTAGCAGGTGATAGGATTCCCTAACTTACTTCTTTCTTTGGAGCCCCTGCTGTATGTCAGGCACTGAGCTAGGCACTGAGGACAGAGGAAGAGATAGACAGGCCCCTGCCCCATACACCTTCCATTCTAAACATGTGGAAAGGGGTAATAGCTATGTAGCATTCCAGGAAATGAGAAATGCTATGAAGAATGATTCCAGGTGTTATAATAGCAGATGACTTGGGAAGAGAGGACTAGGGATGCCTCTGGTGTATGATTTCCTGTGGATACTGAGGCAAATATTAAGGGAGACTTTAAGAAGCAAGTTAAGCTTCTGGATCTCTAGACATGTCTGTAATGTTCGTGGCTAGGCCAGAGACTGGGGGAAATGTCAAGTGGACACCGTTTTATTCCAGTGTAATCTTCCTCTTTGGCACCCCCATCATTTTTCCGATCTGCTAGGACCTTCTCTCCCTGGTAACTCTTCACCCTGGGTTGCCCAGCATTCTGTCTGAGATGCCAAAGCTTACTGCCTCTTCTTACCACCACTACTGTGAGCCATGAACTATCCCATTTCCTGTCCTCAAGGTCAGGCCCCCCTGCAGCTGCCAAGGCCTCAGCTAGCCACCCTGATAAACTAACCTCTGCCCACTTCTCCCAAGTGAGTGATTTCTGTTGACACTAGTTCTATTTTTCCATCTGTGAAATGGGAGAGTTAGTATAAACCTGGTTGGAAAGATGGCTGGAGAATGAACAGATGTGGGTGGTGGCCCTGGGTTTCACCCCAGCTAGGTAATCTCAGGACAGTCACTTTACCTCTCAGAGCCTCAGTTGCTGAAAAAGTAAGGGGTCTGATTGGGTCATCTCAGGGGTCCTTACAGGTCTGAAATTCTGGGATTTGAAAAGTTCCATTTAGCTTCTTAGAGCATGCTAAACAAAACAAAAACTATGATTGTCTAACCCAGAGAAGGAGTTTCCAGTGAGGAAGGTGGCCAGCAAAGCGTTGTTACAAGGCAGTAGGAGACATTATTCGAGGTCTGTCAACTTCCCTTCCTAAGGAGAGCTGGTGTGGGCAATGGACTCTTACTGCGATTGCTTATGAAATGAAAAGATGACTCTTCATACATCCGAATTATGTTTAATATCTTAAACCTTAGAAATAGCAGGTTTTAACTGGCAGCCACATCTGCTGACAAGGATGTGGTAACTCAGCAGAGACCAGAATGAGCCAAAGCATCCAAATCATTTTCTTGTGTAAGTGACCAGCTTCTACTTCTTGTTATCTGTCATTTTATTCCATATTGAGGTCAACGTGGTAAAGCCATTATGCATGATGCATTTCCGTTTGCTTAAAAGGCCTGAGATTATCAAGACAACAGGCAAGGGCCCTGAATCACTCTCACCAGTCAGTTCCAAATAAATAGGCCTGGATCTCTTCTACGTGGGTATATTAATGTGTCACGTATTCCCTGCAGAGCTATAGTTATCACTTAATTGATTTCACTTATTTGGAATCCTGTGAAATCTCCCTGCAGAAACCTAAAAGATGAGAAGAGACTGCTTAATGCACAACTGTCTTGTCTGCTTCTGAAGGTGTTGCCCAAGTGTGATGAAGAAAGAGTGGTCCACACAGTGAATCTTCTGCACAACTTAAATTAGCAGAGAGAGCAGCAAAGCCAGCACAGTTCTGCAAAATGCTTCTTTTGTTTTCTCTAAGTGTGGTCATGATTTCACACAACGAAAACTTATTTTGTAAGCCTGCATTTGGTGTAATTTGAGGTGTGAATTCAGCCATTTATTTCTTGAACTTACTTGTTTCAGAATTAAGGTAGCATTATTTAGACTCCTTCACCTTTTTTGAGGGTGTGTGTGTATGTGTGTGTGTATACATCCATTTCCATTATTTTTCTGACCTTGAGGAAAACAAACAACATTAAGAAAGATTAATTTTTTTCCAATGAAAGCTTATTGTGTGCTGACAATAGCTTTAATCTCTTTAATGTCCAAGGGAGAAGGGTTGAGCATTGATAACATTTCTATTGATATTTTCCAGATAGGATTTTGTAGCCAAGTTCTTTAAATATATTTTTGGTGAACACTAAAGGGGAAATCATTGATACCTAGATTAAAAGTTTTGTGGCTTTAAACATTATTTTTTGAAATGAGTGTGTTGGGGTTGAGTATGAACAACTTAAAACATTAAAATTCCCATCCAGATTTCAAGTCTTAGGTGTTCCTCTCCTATACTTTTTACTGGGTCAAAAGCAGCTCAAATATAAACAATTATGTCCTTTGGCCATTTAATTTCAAAAATCACTTATATTTTGTTTTATTAAACGAGCTGCATTGTCCTTGTGATTTAATTGATGGCTGGGAGAAAAATCAGACACAATATAAAGCAAGATTTATGAAGAAACCCTGGAATCCTATTTGTGGCTATTTCACAAAATAAATAATAAAATGGAACTTTTTTCTTCGTTTTTTAGATTAAAAATGAGATAGGAAAATGGCATTGAGTTTGAATTTATAATTTGAAAGCATAGAACATGAGTGAAATAAAAAAGTTACCATAGGAGAGTCAATAGATGCCCCACCCACCCCATCACTCAGGCAATCTCTTTGTGAGAATTCACCCTGGACATTTAGAAATCATTGCAATAAAAATGTGGTATTAAAAATGCCATACTACTACTGTAGCAAGTATGACAAATACGTGATATCCTTGGAAACTGCAAAATATTTTCTTATCCAAAATTTGGTATTGCCCTGGCCGGGTGGCTCAGTTTGTTGGAGCATGATCCCGTATTCCAGAAGGTTGTGGGTTTGATTCCTGGTCAGGGGGCACACACCTAGGTTGTGGGTTTGATTTCCCCTTGGGGCACTTAAGGGAGGCAACTGATCGATGTTTCTCTCTCTCTCTTAAAAAAAAAAAAAATCAATAAAAACATATCCTCCATGAGGAGTTTAAAGAAAATTGGTATCTTGCTCTTAGAGTGTTTGAAACCAAAGTATAGCAAATACTGTTTTATATTTAGCCTATTCCCTGATGCCGTGTTTGTTTCTTAAATAAAATCATGGGCCATGAATGGGGGGAGGAAAATAATGAGAACAACAGAATACCCAAGTGATATGATAGCAACTACCAGTTCCTAATACTTACTCCCTCCATAAGAAAATGGCTTTATTTTCTACTCTCCTGTGGGCAGCTTGATGGCAGAGCGACAAGGCACAGGGCAGCTCTGATGTTTAATCTTGTACCATTAACTCCACCCCACACAACGTGCCCCATTCTACAGTCCTCGCAACTCTGGGGTGAAGTATGGTATTTTGTTGCTTGTTTACAACCTAGTCAGGCAACAGACACAGTACATAAGAGGTGCTACATAGCATGAAACATACCAAGAATACCAGAAATTTGTCTACTGTATCAATAAGACCATGTTCAACTATACCTATCAAGAAGCTCAGGGGGAGCAATATAAAGCTACTCTGATAGTTTTATACTTCTATCCACCACATTGTTTTGAACCAACACTATGTGCCTTTAAATGTAGTATTTATACGTCTTGCCTTCCAAAGTTTGAGGATTTCATCATGAACTTGCAATATTTCTCAGAAAGGAACACATTTTCCTGTAGAAATGATTGGATGACTTTGGCAAATTCAGGCCACTTATTAACTGCAAAGTGTTGTATGTGTTGGAGTACCCAGAATGGATTGCCCAGAGATTCTCTTTTGGAAAAGTACCAGCACAATGCCCGAAATGCCGGAGAGTGGAAAGTCATGGTCTCGACGGGGAAATGACGGCAGTGTTCGTGGAGACAGTGTTTTCGCATGGCTGACATTAATGACAGCCCAGTGCTCTGCACTCACTGAATGTTTTCATTCCAGAAGAGCATCAAAACCACTGAGTCCTTTCAAGTCATCTTCTTTTACTGCGAAACCAGAAACCATGCCGACAACGATTTGCAGTAATAACCTGTGTCCCAGCTGCAGGCTGTATTAAACTCCTTGTCATATAATTTCCTAATTTGTGTGTAGGTAGTTGTAGCAAACAACTTAGTTTATTTCAGAGCATGACATCAGAAAGCATACTTTAATGTAGCAGCGACGGTGATGAAATCAGAATTTCCACGAAGTCCACTCTAATTGAACGGTATGGTAAGGAGAAATAAAATATGAGACCCTGAGTTTCCTCCCAAAGTCATTTACGTTATTAGGTAACAAGGCTGATTTTATTTTAACAAATGCACTGGGAGGTACATGAGCATTGCTCCTTCAAGGCAGTCAACTGGGGAGGCTAATAAACATGTGCGCCAGCAATGCTTGCTGTCGCTGCCTAAAACCCATATACAGTTCCTCTTCTGGAACTGCTTTCAACTCCTTTAGCAATGTTTTCATATTCTCCATAGTGCCCACTGCCCTCCTGGAAAAGGGAACTTGATTTTTGGAAACAACCAATAGTTAATGGTAAAAGAAGACATCAGGCCAGGCCATTTTCCTTAAAAAAAAAAAAAAAGAGAGACAAACTTGTCTCTCTCATCCCATTGGCACTGAGAACAGTTGCCAAAGAAGTGGTTCAAAGTAGTTTGTGGCAATGACATCACTACTTTGAAGGTCAGGCCTCATTTTGTTGTAGAGACTGGTGCCAGTGATTTTATTGGAAGAGAATATTGGCCACTAATTTTCTTCTTCCAGAAAATTAACATGCTAGATGACAGCACACCAAAAACAAAGGACATTCAAAGGCCATCCTCTGCTGCAACACAGGAGCACATCCACCCCAACAGGAGGCGCCCAGTGTCTGGATGACCCCCCTCCTGGTCGAACTCGCTTCCGATTGGGGCGGAATCACTGTCCCCGACAGAGCTGGACTCCCAGAGCAGGCAGCGAGTGTGGGCAGCTGGCTGGAGGGAGAGCCAGAAGAGGCCCCGCGTGGTGGCTTCCATTGTCAACCTCTGGGAATCACAGGAGAGCTCTGACTTCGGCCACCAGTTCAGAAGTCACTGGGAGGCAGCCGAGCCTGGCGGCGGGGCAGCCAGCACAGACTGCCCTGCTTCTGGGGCAGGGCCAGGGCCAGGGCAGGGGCAGGGGCAGGCCTCACGCAGCCAGGGAGGGCAGGGCAAGGGCGCGCTGGGGAACTGGCTGGAAACTGCAGCTGTAACGCGAAGCTTTCCCCAGGAGAGGTCATGTGGAACTATCAATACTTTATCCCATTTCGCAGTTTGGGGTGTTTGGAGATATAAAAATGGGCTTTCTTGAAGCTTTACTTTTTACTGTTTAGGAGATGTATTTTCTAGTCCCCGTGCCTTTCTCCCAGGGCTTGTCAGGGTTTGCTGCAGGTGGGGAAAGTAACACCCAGGAGTGAAGTGAAGGGCAGCCTTCCTGGAGAAACCACCTACACCTCAGAGCTGCTCCTGACCTCAGGCACTTGTACCCACTGCTAGAGTCTTTGTAACTAATTTCCCCCAGTTTAGCGGTGACTCTCTCCCTAGGCACACCGGACATTAATTCAAATAACAATACAAACTTAAATTCCTAGAATATCAAAATATATCATTAGTTTAGGAAATTCATTATAGTTGACCTTCAGGGCTTTCCGTTTTCTCTTACATCATCTTTCTTTGCTCCCCATTTTTTTGGTTGTAGTTGAATAAAACATGGGGCCTGGCGAAGTCAACAGTGATGGAAGGGCCGCACAGCTCTCTGTCAGGTTGGGAGAGGAGTGGAAAACTGGTATAAGACTGAAGGCAGCCTGATCTCCACTTTCATAGTTTGGTTTTCTCCATGTTAATCTCTTCCTTAAAGCGCCTTCAGGAAAGTTCCTGGAATGACACAATATAAAAATATTGCTGTCACTGTTCCTGAGGTCTCCCTGCCTTACTGATGACATTGTTTTTGTCAGAGTCCCTTGAACTTTGATATAGGTTCTCAGAATATTCGTAAAATTATGCCCAAAGAAAACATACTTTGAAATTAATTAGTGAAGTCCAAAAGTCAAGAAAGGAAATGAGGCAAGAGAGGAAAATAATAGATTCACTCTAAAATGGACTGTGCTCTCTAATTGGCATATGAAATGTACCTCTTAAGTACCATTCACCTCAACAGACCAGAAGAGAGGATTGCTCTGGCTTAGATGGAAGAATTCACTCTCAAGGGACATTTTGAAATGGACTGATATTTCTCTAGTAAGAGTTACCTGACTTGCTATTGAAAATGCTAAATTTTATGGTTAAGTAATCAGTTCATCTTGTCTAACTGACAATTCAAAAAGCTGATTCCAAGAACAGGAAATTGGCTTCAATAGAAAGACTGTTTGTTTATTTTAGAGGGCGGGGATGGGTGAGGACCAGTCAAGCTTATTCTTGTGACATATTTTAAAAGATATTTTAAATGAATAATAATTCCTCACAGGTGTTTAGCAATCCTTATTATTGACGGGTGTGTTTGAGGTGTGACTGATTTTTTTAAACAAACATACCAAGGTTATGCACCCCCTGAAAAATCCTGTCTCATTCAGAATTTCAGCTTGGAAGTCTGCACACGTACTCAACTGATTTTTTCTAAGCCTTAATTTTTTTTAACTCCATTTATTGGAATTGCTTTTAGTGACTGCTTTGGGTCCTTTTGAATAACAGTGAAGGTAAAATAAGGGCAGGTCATGGTGAGTAGTTGGGTTGATTTTCCTGGAGCATTGGCCTGACCCCAACCTCCCCATGGACATTGGCTCCCCAACATCTCACAGGGATGCTGCTAGTCTGATAGGTACGCTTTTGTGCTATCACTAGACCCTGCCTCAGAAGTTATTTCTCTGTGCCTTGAAGGTCCCTGACGTCTAATGCCTTAGACAGTTGTAGCTGGGGACCATGTAGCTTGAGGTCCTAAAATGCTTTGCTGATGGAGAATGTTTTCTTTTGAGAAAGAAGTAATAATGGGAAATAGTTTTGGATTACTGATGCAGCTTGCCATGGTACACAACTAGTGGCCTTGAGAGAGAGAGACAGACAGAGAGGGAGGGAGAGGGAAGGAAGGAGGGACAGAGAGAAGGAGGTGGAGAGAGAACCTAACTCTGTCCTAACATACTCAATCGAAATTGTTTACCTTGAAGGGAAAAAATACTTTCTTTCCCATCAATACCATATTAGCATTGAGTTGCCCTGTCTCTTCTATAATGGCAGGATGTGGTATTAAAAAGAATTCTCTTTGATTGATAGTAGTAAACATTTTTTTAAGTAAGACCAAAAAAAAGAAGGGGCAGGTGTATTGAACAGTGTTCTAGCTCCTGTGGGTACCTGGTCAGAACTTTTACTCTGGACTTGGACGAGAACATTTCAGTGTGTTCCCCTTTCTAAACCAAAATGCGATGAGAATAGGCACGTTGGTTGCCAGGCGAGCCTCTCTTAACACTTTTTTCCACCACTTTTCCCTGGCTGATAACACCTGATGGATTTTGCCACAAAAGATGTTGCCACTGTTGGGGAAATGACAGTTCAACTCACTCTTAATCACCAAGTGACTGTGTGATATAGCAGGCCCAGGTCCGCACTGTACCTAAGAACAGGTGAGGGAAGCTGAGCCCCGGAGAAAGGTGGTCACAGTGTTTTACAGGTAATCTGTGGATGTTGCTCATGACACAGGTAGTTTCTGAAGCCTTCTAACCTATAGTTCAGTCTTTCCCCCCTCGCCTTTCACAGCACAGTTCTTAGAGGTCTCTCTTTTATTTCCTCTGCTTACCACCACTCCAGGATGCCAAGCTGTGGGCTTTCCCACAAAGTGGGCAGCTGACATGATAGGCACTGGTTTCTTTCAGTTGTGCTTTGCACCTGCTGAGTGTTAACTTCTCAGATTAGGCCTCTGCATTAGAAATAAAGTTGCTAAACTCCATGTCTTTATCTAAAAGAAACATTATGGCCTACCCCTCTTCATTCTTCTATAGTTCCCTCAACTCCAGTTGCAACCCTTGCCAGATACCACCATCCATAAAAGATAAGTGATGGTCGCCCTGGCAGGTGTGGCTTAGTTGGTTGAGTGTTGTCCCATGCACTGAAAGTTTGCGAGTTCGATTCCCAGTCAGGACACATGCCCAGGTTGCAGTGTCTGTCCCCAGTTGGGGCTTGCAGGAGGCTACTGATCAATGTTTTGCTCTCACATTATTGTTCCTCTCTCTCTCTCTCTCTCTCTTTCTCTCTAAAAATCAGTTTTTAAAAAATTTTTAAAAGTATGTGATGGTGATGATGATGATGATAGCTAACATTATTGAGTACCTACTATGTGCAAGGCACTGAGTCAACAGGCACTGTACTTGGGCACCCTGTAATAATGACGTAGGGATCATTGTAAAGGCAAGGAAGATCAGGCACAGGTTAAGAAAGCTGCTCACGTTCCCATGACTAGTGTGTGGCAGGGCAGGGATTCAAGCCTAGGCTCTAGAGTTTACAAATTCAACCTTGACGCTTTACCTTCAAGATTGTACTTAACCCCTTTCAAAAAAGTTTTCACTTTCGTCCTTAATTCGTACGTGGTGAAGCTAATGTAACCAGGCGAGCAGTGCTGGCGGGCTTTCCGTGCCTCCTCTGCCTCCCTGATGCTAGTCGTGCCGGTTCCCAGCAAGTGGTGGTAGGACTGGCAGCTGGCTGGAGCTGCGTGTGAGCACATGGAATATGTGGTATGTGTGAGAGTGTGCAATGTGTGTCATGACGTAAGGCGGTAGTAGCCATTGCCATTAAAAGGGACCTGCCATTCGGAGCTCCTGCTGTGACCGTAAGATGTGCCTGTAGCAGCTGTTAGCAGTCGGACCACGTTTCCATCTGATGTGAAATGTGCCTCTGTCACTTGTGAAACACATTTCAAAACCTTGCCGTCCTGAAATGCCCAAGTGTGTGAATGGTGCACGTTTACGGCAAATCAGGAAGATGCGCTTATTCCAATGACAGTGTCACACTCGTTCACTCACGCTCTCAAGTGGCAAAGA